TTTAAAATGGGGAGGTCCTTATATTGATGAAAGGTCTGCCATCCAGCCTGTATACGCCGTGAAATTTCTTTGCTACAGTTACGGGAGAGTGAAATGTTTGTCCAAGACAGATACATGACTCAACTTGTTTGATCGTGGTACTTCTAAGACTGATTGTTACAAGTGTATGAGCAGATACTTTGTTTTTTAGAGGATTGATCCCTTTGAACCGTTTCTGCGTGAGTGCACATTAGATTGTTTATTATCGCCTGTAGTTCACCTTCAGATTTTGCAATTAGGACGATGTCGTCAATAAAGCGTAGATTCGTTGGCTGATTGCCATTTATGCAATAGCTGTAGCTGCTCCAGCCGATTTTTCGAAAAACATGTTCAAGTGCAACGTCAAACCTTAGGTGGTAGCGAATCTCCCTGTCGCAGTTCTCTTTGAGTCGAAATTTCACTGACCTTTACGGCTGATCGTGGACTTGTGTGTATTTGAAGAAGTGCTATAAGTTGCCAGTGCTTTTCAAGATCATTCCAGAGTCCATTTATTTCAACGTCGTCAAACTTTCTCATAATTCACAAACACCATTAAAAGGTGTAGCATGTAATCACTTGTTCGTTCGCTCAACTAGTTCATTCATAGCATAAATATGATCAACCGTTGAATAGCTTTTCGAAAGTCTGCTTGTTAACGGTTGCTCTTGGTCAAAAGTGCCTTCTAGCCTTCGATCAATAAGTTTGGCAAGCAGTTTATAGAGTACCGGAAACAAAGATATTTAGACGATGATTGCGTAATTCTTGCGGATTTCCTTTCTTGTATAGTTAGAATGGTTACCGAATCTGCCATCGTCTTTGGTACCGTGCTGGAGTAGAGGCAATCGTTGAAAAGCTGCTTGATCAAGGGAATAAGATAATCTCTTCCTTGTTTGATCATCTCTGTAGTGTACAGTCGTGCCCAAATATTTTCCCTGTTTTCATCGAATCCATTGCCATGGATGTCTCTTCCGCAAAAATGGAGGACAGATCTCTTGTGAATAGTGTGGAGTGTACGGTATAAACAGCTCGAGCGTATATGCTTTCGAAATAAAAACTGATTATCTCGCAGACCCCTAACTTCGTGCCACAGATCTTCCCATTCTCATCCTTTACTCGAAAAGCCTGTGGTGCCTATGAGTTATCTCTCCCTTGACTTTCTTCAGACTACGTGATGACCGTAAAGCTTCTTCTAATCGTTTGCAATGATGAGAGCGTACCGTAGCGTATCATTCCTTATCATTCTTCTTAACAATTTGCAGCATTCGACATAGGTAATGCGGTCGATTTGGGTAAGCATCGTTGCCTTCATTTCTTGACGCCTCTTCATCATGGCGTTAGTTTTTTTCCGAAAGGTAAACTGCACCTGGTGTTCTTAACATTTACAGACGCCTTTGCTGCGTTAGTAATATATTTGCATATTACTCCATAGCCATTTTCTGGAGAGCGTAATAACGATGGGCTTGTAGTAGAGATTTCGGTACTTTTTCGTTATCCGGACCCATTTTTCAGAAGAAACTATTGCTTCTATCCTTGTATTATATTCTAGTTTCATAGGAAGGAGTGCTAATCTTCTGTCACGTGTCAAAAAATTTAACATATCATCTACATGTTCAACACGTTTTACCAAGAGTTTGTGTTACTCCACCTAGCAATGTAAGTTCAATCTGTTTTTTAGTTGGTTTTGACCTCATTTCGATCAAACACTTTCGAAGTGAACATTGTCATAATAATAACGACATACTACCACCATCGATGAACAGATTAGACTTGCTCAGGGTAGAAAAGTGCGCTAGGATTCCGCCATTTGAAAGCCGAAATAAGCAGCAGCAGTGTATTTTATGTTATCATTTATATTTTCGGCTAAATTCGCATGGCGAAGAGGGTTCGAAATGAAGTACATTTCTGAATCAATGCTGAAAGCAAGCAGAAAGTTTTAGAATAAGTTCTTGATTGTTCTTTGCTTATGTAAAACAGTTGGACAGCTTTAAAATGATCACAAATTCTCTTTTATTTCACCGAAAATGATTTCGAAAAAACATGTCAAAATGGGCCAAAACGTGTCAATTTTTTCGTGACACATGGCAAGGAGCAGTCCTTGTAGAACTATGAAATTGTTCTGCAAAGAGCAATCCTTGTAGAACTATGAAAAATTGTTCTAAGTCTTAAGAACGTATAATATGAGAGCGTTTCAAAAAATGGGTCTGGATAACGGAAAAGTACCGAGATTTCTCGCTTGTAGAGTTCCCAGCTCACGCACTTCTGGCTTTTTCGATCTCTTTTCCTTATATCACTTGAATCTGGCCACTTAATCTTTCCTTGTAAAAGGCGGTGATCGGTTTCGTAATTTAAGGATTAGTTCTCACGCTTGTAAATTGAACATTTTTGCAGAAAGGGATGTGGTCTAAACAATTTAAAGTTTTGCCGTCGGGCAATTTCCAAGTCCATTTGCGGACTTCGCGGGTTTTGAAGAAGGTAGACATCGCGCGAAGACAATTTTCTTCAAAAGTTATAACCGCAGCATTCGAATGAAATCTCGACGTCGCTCCTTGTGCCGAGTTTTGCGTTTAGATCTCCCAGCACAATTACAGTCTTTTTCAACCCTGAGAAGCATCCAAGCACTCAGATAATCGCCGGGGGCAGGCGGCCATGCGATTTATGGGCGGGCGGGCACCGGAAAAATAGTTCGCTGATTTCTTGCGGCCCGCTTGCAGATATTTGGAAGAATTTTAGCGAAATTTTAGACGAATGCTTGGAGAAAAATCGCGGTTTCCTTACAGATTAGCTGCGGCGCAGTGGCCGCATTCTCGCGGACTTTCCGCGAGAATTTGCAAAATTTTCGGGGGCCGCACGGTCCTTTGTGGAGGACCGCGCAGTCCCCAGGTACTTTCCGCTGAGAGAAAGTACCTCAGACTTGAGTAATTAAACCATCGATGACACCTCTGCCATGTAGAGTCTCACCTTTGCTCGACGTATGCCCGAAACTGCTTAAAAACCGTCCGAGCGCCAGCTGAAAATTTGACCAGCGCTCGCTGAAAGAGACTGTTTGACGAGCGCCTGCAGAAAATTCTGTGTTGCTTCCCGCTGGCAGAACATTAAACAGTAAAGGAAGTACCGCTCGCTGAAGGTTTGGCCACGCCCCAAAATTCTGCTGACCGCTTGCAGAAAAGCGCGAGTTTGCGGACCGCCTGCCCCCGGTCTGAGCAGAGCAGCGGACCCGCCGCCGGCTGAGCGAGATAGATTAGGACGAAGAGACGCAAACTGCAAACCGGCGCAAATCGTTGCGAAGCGGACTCCGGCCAGTCCAATTTCCGCCTAAACTAATTTGAAACTTACTATACATGCACCTCTTTTAATTCGCTTTCTTTAGGCTTCATGTGGCAGTCTTTATTGCCGTGGACTAAACTTTTCTGAAGAACTGTCTCTGATTCGCTCCACTGCTCATCTTCGTAATCATCATCGTTTGTCTTCGGAGGTACGTACATAGAGAAAAATCTGGTGACACTCTCGCCTATCTCCACGTTCAGGACATTCTTCGACTTTTTCGAGTAAAGGCTAGTATGTGAGTCAAAATTTGCTCACTCACGAGAAAGCCTGTGCCGGAGGGTCCTTGAGCGCCTTCAGGTCCAGCGTAGTAAATTCGATAATCAGAATATGGCAAAGCCATACAACCGGTTCCTCTCCAACGTGGTGCAGTCACAGCAAGAATATCGAGTGTTGTTTTTTTTCTTGCAGTTCTACGTGTCGGGCTTCGCTGCTTAGGCATCTCACGTTGATCGTTTCGATGTGAATACAGTTATTGGGGTGGAACATTCTTGATCCAGCTGTTCCGGGGTTCGCGGATCAAGGGGTTCAACGTCCGGTAGGATAGTGGGGGAAGTCGGAGTGACCGACTAATCGAGGGATGTGCGGAGGAAGATCCATGGGTTGCCAACTGAGAATCAATGAGATTTATAGCTCCAACTGCTTGAGAAGGAAATTTTAGAAATTTCTTGGGGTGCTGAGGGGTGGCAAATGTCCTGGACGTGAAGATAGGCGAGAGTTTCATAAGGTTGGGGGGGGGGCTGTAGCGATCAGTGTGATAGATTCACGAGTGCAATCTCCCTAATACAGTGCAGGTTCAAATACTCCAGACTTTTCTCTGTAGCATAGTCATAAAGCTTCCTTAGTATTAGGTTGGTAAGAAAATTTCCGGACATTTCAATAAAGTTCTTGTTTTACTATGGTAGACACAAGCATTATCAACGTTTCCTATGAATACGCAGGCAAAAATTCGAGAACATGGGACTTTGGCTTAGCGCAGAAGTCCAATTTCGGTGAACTTATACTCTCCCACATGCTCCTCATAATAAACACAAACTTCCATACTAACATGCAACAGCTGTGTAGAGTCAGAGCTCAAATGGCCAAAAATGAGATCATCAAGAAGAAACTCCGCCCTAATGATATCTCCTACCAGCTCAGACAATATCTACACGCGCGCGAGAGCAGCAAACTTTCACTCACGTACATGCGTCAGATAAAAAAACAGTCGCCTTTACACCTGCTTTTTTGTCCCCCCCCCTCCCCGAACGGAAATCCTGGGTACGCTACTGCTCTGAGAACTTACCAACCTGATATCAAACTTTGTGAAATATCAGCATAAAAGTTTTTAGAAATACTGAAAAAAAGACTGATTCTATTGCTCAATTACACTTTTGGCCGCTCATCGCAAAAAACCTCGTAAGCTCTTTCAAAAAACGTGCAAAAACGGGAATCAGATTTGTAATCAGCGTTCAAAGTCGAATAAAGTGGCTCAAATCTCGGAAAACCGTGGCCGCTAAGAATATTTTCCTTATAAGTAAAAGAAACCTGCTTGCAAACTAGCGCGAAACAACCGAATGGACAATCCAGTTGCAAAATGCAACGACATTATTACAAAAGAGCTGCCTTTCAACATTAGGACCAAAACTTCCATAGATTTCTAAATCAAAGCTGGCATTTACCGTTTTGTTCTTCTCGCCGCAGCTTGATCCTGCATCAACAAAGTCAATCAGACATACTATAAACAATAGAAGTGAACGCAGGTGATGGATAATTGCCATTCTGAAATTTACCTCTAAACGACTTTGTTAAACTCCGTCAATTAAAGTCTACGATAATTTATGAAAAGCTATTGTCAACTTAAAGTGGAAGGATCTATGGTGACCATGGCCATTCGTAGAGAGACATCACTAGATGCGCCTCAAAGTACCGATTTCAATTCTTTCGCTATCTGCTAAGCGAGTCTGAAATAAGTTGTAAAGGTTTTTTCTGTAGGAACTTGCACTGTTTCAATTAAGCAGAACCATGAACCTCTTTCAAATTCTTTGTTTCCCTCATCCATAAAAACATTTGAAAACGAACTTCGAGCTCTCGGATAGTCTGCCTTTGCGTTTATCTCCAAAAAACTCAGTGATCAATGATTCTGATTCTTAGTGTTCAAAAATCTTGCGAAAAACGGCTTATAACTTGTTTCAGACACTCGCTTAGCAGATAGCGAACGCAGATTTGTAATTAATTCAAGGCGGATCTAGTAGTATGTGTCTCAATAAGAAGGGCCGCGATCACTAAGTATCTTTCCCTTGTTAGAAGGGCGACGACATTTTGGAAAATGATAGCAAAAAAGAGGAAAAGGAGGAATATTTCTTAATAATCGACTGCTGCATCATCAGTCCTTATCGGTTTAACTCATCGAATTTTATCGATCGAAATTCGAGATTAGAACCCTTGGCAGTCCACAACTAAGGCAGAATTTTCCAATCTTAGAAATTATTGTAAATTCGAATATGTCGAAAATCTAGTAACTTTTATTACCGCTATGTTACTCGATAGCAGTACAAGAAAAGATTTCTCCGGAGGTATTCCATTTGTAGAAAGAATTTGCGAATCCATGAAAGTACAGCTAAAAGTAAACATTTTCTCAGATAATATTTTGAATCCCGGAATTGTCAATTATATAGAAAACATAAGACAATACAAAATACTTTTGAAATCACTAACTGTAACTCTAGAAGTCTAGCGGTAAAGGTTTCCTTGTGGTAATATTTGCAGATAAAAAAAGCACTACACTACACCTACATCATGTCATGCTCCTAACAGTCCGTGTCAATCAAGTGCTCCTTTTCCGTAATTGCAATGAGCTCTGCACCATGCTCGCGCGCGTATGACTCAGACACGATTTGGCCTCGATTGGAGGTGCGGTGCGCAGGCAAGGTCCTTGCGTCGCATGCGTAGTTCTCATGCGAAAGGGAGTACCTAATTGGCGTTGACTATACGTCCTTATCATGGTGAACACAGGTATGTCTAACTTTGAGACAAACTTTGATGAATACCAAATCAATTTAAGTGAAATTTATTTTAAGATAGCCTCCAAGGTAATTTGCATAGCGGTAAGGTTCTTTCTGATCTCATCATGATGAAGGGTATGGAAGCTGTTGGTAAATTCAATTTTTTATCCGTGGGGGCCAATCAATTGTCGAGAAGCACTCAAAGGCACCGCCCACCCTAAGTGAGGGGTTTTGAGCTTTTGGCAGTTTATGATAGTGTAAGTCCTCTATCAAGCCAAGCCCAAGTTGCGGCTCAAAATGTCGCTTTGAAAGCGAGAAAATCGGCTCGAGGAAGCGAAGAAGCATGAGGACCCGAAGTCAGCACCTGCTTCCTTTCAGTAACGTTCGCCCATCCGCAAGCCCATCCAATGAGGGTTCCAGAAAAGCGGTGGGAGCCGTGGAACGGGGATTTTAGACGTAACCGACTTCATATTCAGAATCAGGGGCTTGAGAAGCCCGAAACGACCAAAACATGGAAGCCGAGAAACTGGGTGGACGGTAGCTTTAAAAAAGAATCGCAAAAAACTTTTGAGAAAAGGCTCGGCAGAAAGCGCCAGAAGGCCTTTTTTCCCACGCGACCTTTGGCGTAGAGATAGCAAGTTTGTAATTCTGCCTCAGTACATATTTTGGCGATAAGCAATACTGGAAAACTCATGTTTCACAAAAAGCTGAAGGCGCCGTGGGAGCTCCGGCGTATTTTGGCGCTTTGGGCATGGAACGATAACAAGTTCATCAAGCTACTTTTTAGTCTAGGAGTTGCCGTTCTAAATCAATGCGCTACCATATTTGCCTTCACCAAGGCGGTTGGAGCCGTTCGAAGTAACGTGGTTTTTGATTCAACATAATCGCAATTGCCGGAGTAAAATAATAATTTTCCTTTACTTCGTTGATCTTGCATTGTCAAATATACTTGCAATAAAAAGCTAATCACGAAATCTCACTATGCCTGCATAGAACATAATTGGGCCACGTCGCTGGAACTTTTGCCTGCACATACAAGCTATTTTTGTCAAAATGTGAGGTGTAGATCTACACTTTACATGGAGTGTGGTAAAGAGTTCTACAAAAAGCTTCATGCACCGCCAAGATTTCACAACGAGCTCTAAGTAGCCGTCATGTTTGCATTCTGGCAGGGGTAGAATCAACCTTGAGGTACACTGATTTGGATCACAGGATTTGCGTGATATCCAAAAGTGAATCTTATCATTAGATCATCACTTGTTTTCTTGCAGAGAAGTGCTTGCATTGAAAAACCACGGCTTTATAGAGGGAGGTATGGTAGAAAAACGAAAGGAAAAATAATACAAGGGAGGGTTACGAGTCGAAGTGCCCTTTCACTACTAGCTGCGTACTATACATGAGAGAGTATAGCGCCTACTCCACATCTGCTTTTTGTATCCGTCATCTTTGTTGAAGTTATGGGCAATTTTTAGGGCAAGAAAAGTGACTGATTGGCCGAGTTGACTTTAACGCTAAAACCTTTCTAGACGTCAAATAAATGAATAAGGAGTACTGATTTATTAGGAAGAAGTCAGTGTAGGACTATCTGAAACTTGCTTCTGCTTCATTTGAAGTCTAGAGATGCTGTGAAGATCTATTATATCCGAGACATTAAGTCAATTTTTTGCCTCAGAAGATGCTCACATGCTTTTTCACAGAAGCTCTGGAAATATGGAAAGCAGATTATAATAAGCGCTTCAAGATCGCATCAATGGTATACAGTTTGTAATGGTCGGCCACTTAGACTTCGTGACCCTTCCTCGATAGTCAAAAGCTTATAAGGTTGCCAATTTGAGTCAGTCATTCTTTGGCAAATGGCAGCAACTTATTAGATATCTAATTGGAATCGCTATCAAAGATGAAGTCCCATGCAACCTAAGAGTGCGGTATATGTGTATGAATGTCTGCAAGCAAAGATTCTTGATTCCTGATAAGATTCTTGTCTACTTGTTTTCAAAAACGCAGGAGATAAGAGATTGAGATCTCGCAACAGCTACATACGAAAAAGCGTTCAAAATATGACCAATTGATATGCAGAATAGAAAGACGTTAATGTAAAGTCAGTGTAAAGAAAGTTCCATCTAAAAGAGTACGTTGTGGTTACAGGTTGACAATAGATAAGATGCAAGAGGCAGTTATATTTGCCAGTAGATAAGTGAGTAAATCACCTACTAATGTTTTACAATTTTTTTTCATTGCACGTTTGTTGAATTATCTACAAATGAGAACGCGATGAATTAGTAGGACATAATCGGCGACTGACTATGAGTGGATTATATTGAACTGTTGCCTTGACTGTTCTTCTTTCACTCTTACTTCTTGATCGTGTTTGGCAAATAGATGTTTAAAGAGAGAACAGAGAGTATTTGCAATGTATCTAAGTAAAAGAAAAGGGGTACTTTGGTGAATCAATAGACTCATAACATTGCAGTCACATAAATTCACACCAATTAAAAAGTGCGTTGTTTATGTGGAAAAGGTGTAATAAAGGAGTAGTTTCGTCAAGCGGGAAAAAAGTGGCAAATCACTGGAAGTTTTCAGCCTATTAGTGCATAAGAGGATACCAACGTCAGTTTACTAGCTTATTCTGAACGTAGAAGCTAGCTTACCTGATCAGCATGATTGGTGATGATATATAAGCCACGTAAAAGAGCAATACATTTCGACTCTACGATATCTATAGCTGGAGCACTGCTCAGTGACCTATGCTTTGCAACTTTGTATCCTTCTTGGTCTTCTCCAATGCCACAAAAGAGCCGAAGCTTACTACTTTCATAATGTTCTCTGAATGGAGAAGACCTTAGAGTACGAAGCTTTGATCTGTTCTCTCAAAAGTAGTTCGGCTTTTAGTAGTTTAAGTAGTTTTGGTGCGAACGGCTCAAAAAAACGTACACATAAGAATAAATAATTAGGAAGACATCGTTGTATGTGGAAAGTGTTGAGCTTGTACAAAAAAAGAAGATTATTCTCCACTAAAGTCGTCGTGTCTTGGCCTTTTCAGTACTTAAGCACGGTTTCAAGATGAAAGCCGAAGAGCCTCAAAGTACGGTCATCCGTTACCCAAAAATGGTAGATGTGACTACATTCAGGTGCAGTCAATTAGCGTTTTTACTCAGCAGTAGCAAATTATCAATTTCATTCGAAACACTGCGACTAGAAATGAAAAATCGATTGTATTTCTGCAGCGTTTCCGATGCATGATCAGCAATCGGCCATAAACATCTCCATGCACTAAGTTTGGACCTATAAAAGCGCAAAAAAATCTTCGAATGCAAACAATTCAGCAACAAGCTTCATCGGAAGTAAGCACGCTCATCTCCCCCACCCCCGATTCTTTCGCCCACAACTTTATAGCCTTCAAAATGAAAATGCAATAAATCAACAAATCGATGGAACCGCTAGATAATTTGATAGCTTCCTAATACTCGCCTTGCCTCAAAGTTATTGGTATAGTGGTCCTCACCCCACTAGTCGGTCGGTGGTCGAATTTGAATTCGAACCAGAGCAGGCTGACCGCGGCAGGGCGCGGCAGACGCCGCCCTTCAGCCAACCGCTTGCACGAGCTTTTCTCTTATTTTCTTCGAGTTTCTTCGCTATCTCTCGTAGCGGCAATGTTCTTAATCAAATTCTCAGATTTCGTACCGCTAACTTTTTGAAACAAACGATTTCTGACAGAATTTCAGCCTTGCCGCAAAAAAATAGTCTAGAGTACATATTCTAACGAAAACTTGACATATTTCATCAAATCACATTTGTGTACATGTCACTTACCGGAAAAAAGAAATTTCTCATCCACAACTCTTCAATCGCATCCTTCTTTTCGGCTTACATGGAAAAAATGCAAAACAAACGAGCACAACTGCACAAAACAATAGTTAGCGGTGCGAAATCTAAAAATCTGATAAAGAACATTGCCGCAATAAGAAAGATAGCAAAGAAACACGAAGAAAATAAGAGAAAAGTTCATGTGCAAGCGGTTGGCTGAGGGGCGGTCTGCCGCGCTTCGCCGCAGCCGGTCTGCTCCAGTTCGAATTTAAATTCGACCACCGACCGACTAGTGGGGTGAGGACGACTATAGAAGCTGTGCACAGTTTCCGTGAGGTTTCAAATGTCAGCTGGAAATTATTTCAAATAGAACAAGCAAAAGCGCTAATGCAAGTAGCGTTCATACGTTATGCGCAACACCTTAACAAATTGTTACACGATAGTGCAAAACACGATCTTGCTAAAGGCATCATTTGCAAGGAAACAACTTTTTTCACTAACCGTAACAACATTGGCTAACAATAAGATTCACCTTTGAGATGAGACATTTATACATTTGGGATCAGCTAAATGCTTATTCCAATTGTGTTTTTAGTAGGTTAGTATACGCCAGCACGAGGTTAGTATATTTTATTGTTTGTAGTGGCGGCCTGACGTTTCGACTAAACGTCTTCTTCAGAGGCCTTCTCCACCGTCGGAAGGCAGATGATAAGCGCGGCCGTCCTTCAGTGCCACTGATACCAAAAAATTAGATTTTTGAAGACTAACAATAAAATCTACTACTAACAATAAAATCTACGTATCTCGTGCTGGCACACTACCCTACTAACCACACAAATAACTATGCTGAGGTTAAGAAAAAAGCAAACACAGAAGTTGCCTGATTTAACGTTGCTCTTCCTAGCTGCTAAACATCAATTTGACTCTATTATGGTTCTTTACTTAGCAAAACTTGGGGCTAGATCTGCACGGATACGCTGCACAATCTAGCCCAACCCTTGTGTGCTCATCTTACTGACGCTACTGTGTCAACGTCTAAGTGGTTTTAAACTGCACAATGCTCCCATTTAAGACCGAAACATTCAGTTTGATACCAGTTCAACATGGCACTTTTTCGGAGCAAATCCCTATCTACAGGCGGTTTTAGCACATTCAGAAGGACGCCAGTTACCCACAATGCAAGCTCATAACTCGCTACAGAGTGAGCCTTAGCTAAAAGTAGCATACTCAAGAATAGTATCCCAAGCTGACTGATTCCAAATATCACTTCGCTGCATAAATTCTATCGATTTGAAGTTTTAACTTCCAAATGCCATGACTTGTTTCAAAGTCATTTCTTCCTATGACCTTAGTTTCTATCTGTTGATCAGTCCTTTGGCAATCAGATTTTACACTTGTCGCGAGCGGTGAGAAGGAATTAGTGAATGGGCCTTGCTAGCTTTTGCTTTACTCTAGCACCTCCAACTTTGGACTCATTGATAGCGTCTATTCGCAGAAAGTATGGGCTTGTGGACTATTTATCAAAAAAATTAATGTTCGACAACAAATTCTACTAGCAAGACTTTTCTTCATGAAATTGAGCTTGTGCATGTATTAGCCTGTTACATTCTTATTCCCATTTAGTGAAAGGACTTGAACTGAAGCGCGCATTGTGGGTATTTTTTTGCAAGAACATGTTTCCTGGGTGAAATGTATCTCAGCCACCTGGAAAGAACTTAGGCCTGAATTATCGGTACACTGAGGAATTTATTGAAATTTGGTATGTGTTAAAACGTTCAAGAAAAACGCTTTCTATCAATGCAAATAGTGCCGCATCAGAGCCGAAATTCTCAAAGCAGCTGCTTAAGCATGACGCAAAAAATCACACAGAATTTATGCAGCAGCTTAATATATGTCGTTCACCCAGGCTCCCAAAGGTATGACAAAAATTCGGTGAAATGATATAAGAATTTTGTTTGCTCGAAAATGGGGTGTGAGCCTACATCATAACGTTGAAAATGCGATTTAAAGGTGAAACTTCGAAAATTTCATGTTTTTCTTTTAATGGCGTTACCAAATTGCACTTATGCCAGAGCACTACACTTTTTGCATAAGCATTTATCTCAATTTATTAGGCTGTTACATAAGTCTTGTTACACTTAGCTTCCAACGGCGATAAGTCATACACCTCATAGTTTTTGCAGGGCTCCAAGGTACCATTCGATAGAGCAAAGCAAGCTCTACAAGAGGGTGTGCAAAAGTTCGCACCAGCTCCGACCCACCGTAAGTTTGCATCCAAAATCTGAGTAGTACTGAAGACTCAAAAATTGCAAAAAATTCATATTTTTGTTCAGAAAAGTCCTACAAATCTCCAACTTGCACACAAATTTTGCGTACTATAACAAACACTCATATGTACCACTGCAGTATTTTTTCCTTATCTAGAAATCGAGAAAAAGAAAATTTTTTAGTTTTTACAAAAACGAAGCTATGTTGTTTCTATTCATGTAGCTGTATACTACAAGTCCTTAGAAGTATAACCGCAAATTTTCAGCTCTCCAGAAGCCCTAGTTTTCGGAAATTGCTTAATTTAGCACTGAACACCCGAGTGGGAGAAGCTAAATTTGGTATTTTTCAGAAAATAGGGCTTCTGGAGAGCTGAAAAACTGCGGTCATACTTCTAAGGACTTGTAGTTTACAGCTACATGAATAGAAACAGCATAGCTTCGTTTTTGTAAAAACTAAGAAATTTTCCTTCTCTCGATTTCTAGATAAGGAAAAAATACTGCAATGGTACATTGTTTGATATAATGGGCAATTTTTGTGAGCAAGTTGGAGATTCGTAAGATTTTTCTGAGCAAAGATATGAATTTTTCGCAATTTTTGAGTCTGCAGTACTACTCAGATTTTGGATGCAA